TATTAATCGTAATTCTGATACACCGGATTGCGCGGCTTTATTTTATCTTTTATTTTTCTGGCATCTTTCCTTTGTCGCATGCGCTCAGGAGACCGTTTAAGTACGTAGGTCACAATTCAGCCTGTTTTAGCCCCTGTGAGGTATAGATACATCTTTGCCAGAGGCACAGAGCGTGGCATTAAAATATATCTGCAAATAATTCCATATATCGGCATGGCTGCCGGTGTTTCCCTTGAATTATTCTGAACCGTTGTGAGTTAGGGAAAGCTGAGTCTAAAGACGAAGCAGTCTGTGTTCAAGTCGATTTTCATCCTTGTATTCACCAATAGTCATGATTCATGCGCCATGGCTGAATTGCTGCGGTGCCGGGTACAAGCGGCTGAAATGGGGTCTGTAATACGAATTGCTCGGCTTAGGCGTCTCGACAGGGTCCGGAGTTCAGGGAGACGAAAGAGCGTTTTTGTCCAGCCGCTGTTTCTTCAGACTAAGAAATTTGTTTGGGCACATTTTCCAAATGCTTTCAGAAAGAAAGATGAAACAGCTACTAGTTGCTTGGCGGACTGGCTTAAAACCACGGAAAAGGCCAAGAATGACCTAGAGTGTGTGTCTTAACGGACTTTGCCCCAGACTCGGGTTGTCTTCTAACGACTCAGGTACTGACGCAGGATCAGGAACGTTGAGGATACTGTCTGACGCTGCTGCCTTCTCGACTTGAAAGGGTAAGTGGCTGTTGAAACTTACCGAGAAAGCGCCATGGACGGAATCAGAATAGTAATGAATTGAAATTGATGACGATCGATCCACACATTGATCATGTGCATTGAAGCAAGTCAAACAAGGCATGCAGCGAAGTTCGACGACGGAACCGAGAAAATGGACGATCAGTGACAGCAGAACGGACAGTTTTGAATTTTCTGTTGTAAATCTGTTTGCTAGGTGTCAGGGAGAACTTTAGCAAAATTCCTGTGCCCTTGTCTTTCACTCGTTTTGCTCAAGTAGTGAAAGCTGCTGACATGTCTTACGAGGGTGATCATTTGGGGTGACTTTGGCAAGTTCTACCTTAGACGATACTTCTGTACTGCAATCCAGAGGAGACATCTCAGCGTTCTAGAACAAATACCTCGCTAGTGAATAACAAGTCTTTCTGCGGTAGCTACCTGAGAATGTGAATGTTAGATTCACCTTTCGAGAGATGAATATTTAATAAAGTCGTGTAAGTAAACCATTTCTTGTTTTACCGTTTTTGGTATCGTTTGTCAGGAAATCGGACATAGATACAGGGGATATCGCCTGTAGTTGCCCATGTTTCCAAATTAGTACAGATTTTCAAAACGTCAGGTTTTATTTATTGTATGTAAACGTATAGACTGGATCGTCGATATGAAATTGTTATTTTCGTTATCATTCCTTCTTATTCACGTGTCTTCCGCATTGAGGGATTTGGCATTTATGTTGTGCGAACTACCGGTGTTGGTATTTCAGGTTAGCGAATAAACAGTTGTTTAGTAAGTTCAAATTCATACGCCTTTTCCCATCTAAATGACTGACAGCTGTCATAAATGACGAAATCTACATACAAGTTTGTGTATGTTATCCAGCGTTACGCCACTGGATTGTCTTAATCTTCACCGTAGAGGCGATGAAGTTGTAGTTAACTTTTCTTTTTTTCTGGTATTTTTTAAATCTTCAGGTCGTCTTAAGTGACTTATAAAATACTGCTTCAAGGGTGAATGGTGTGGCAAAAGGATTTCACCACGGTTTCGTTGCTTACTAACATAACAGTTGCTTCCAGCCCCTCTTTCTGAATATTTAATTCGGGTATCCTTCTGCTGGGCAGTTTGCGTGAACCACATCAAGATGCTTGCCCATTCTTAATTTTTCGTTGACTCAGCGGACTGTTTCTCGGTTCATTACAGATCAGAGTTTAAGAAAATACCGTACACCTTATTTTGCATGACTGTGATCCTTTACTCTGGCTGCTACACGCTTTCAACGACAGTAAGCCGAAGCTTGACTTTTGAAGGTTGAAAAACATACCGTTTACAGATTCTTGTTTTGTTAGCTTGCTGAAAATTTCTTTTTTTGATATCTTAATCGTGCTTCATGTTTCATTCAGTCGAACTCGCTGTACTTGTCCACAAGGACAACAAAACAACCATAGACATTATACCGAGGGAAGAGGTTGAAAAGCTTATAAGTGAATATGAAGAAACCGAACCTAAAGAAGCTGTTGAACCTTCCCGCATTTAGTTTTATAATTGTAATACTTAAGAAATGTGAAAATAAAAATTGCATTTTAATCGTCCGAGGTATTTTGTGTCAAATTGAAAACAGGGAAAGCGTTTTATGAACTTTTCGGAAAAAAGCTATTTTTTAGAAGCCAAGTTTGTACGCTGCCACGTAAAATTTGGAAAAAGAATATTCCATGTTAATGCATATGACTGTTTTAGAGATTAACAGTTCAGATATTATTTCCTTCCTCTCTGTCTGTATAGGAGTCACTTCCAAGAAAATGAAATGTAAATTCTATATGATGCGTTTCATCCATAACATTGTTAGGCGCAATAATGTGCCTGCGGCTGTTAATGTGAAAAACGACACGCAACCCATCGACAGTAACAGCTGACAGATGGACTCTTACACTTGTTAATACCGCAGTGTTGCTGTAAATTAAGAAAATCCCTACACTATGCTTTAGCCATTAAAATCCAGTATCATTATTTGTAATAAACCATTGACCGGTGATATCGAAAAAATCCCACTGGTGAAGGCTACCCCAGAACATCTGAGTTATATTCTGTGCTGTCTTGTATGTGATACTTTTATTGACTGTTATGTGTACCTATTATAATAATTAGTTTAAAACCATGTCTTGCTTCCGTCTAAGCTAGAAGTGTCAGAGTCGCTAAATGGATGACTTTGGTATAATGCATTTTAAATGGCTGAAAATTCCATCTCACTACTGATGTACAAGCTGATATTCTTTTGCGTTGAGACTTGATTTCGTAAATGTTTTGTAACTTATCGAGTTTTTGGCATTGGTTCGCAGAGTCAGCACAGTTGTTTAGACAGTTTCGCACTGTATTTGTTGCTAGTGGTCGTAAGGAGCCTCAGGTTGTAAACGAACTCAGGGTAATGGAAGATTTTGTGGTCACTTCTTCGGAGTGGTTGCTTTAGATGTCACTTTCTAGGTTTTCATCCATGTAAAACTTCTAGTTATACAACGCCAACTGCTTTTCCTGATCATTCTGAGTATACATGGTAGTGTGCATGGCAACAAGTTGGATTCGATTACTTGGTTTCGGCTAAGTAATGTCTGCACCTAGAACTGAGATGTAAGTGTTTCCTAGTTAGTTAAGTACCAAAGAACGACAGAATGCTATAATTTTCCGTTTCAAAGTTTGTTTCAAACTTGATTACATTACCAGGATCTTGAAATTCTACTGACCGAACAAGACTGTCGAAAAACATCAATTTTTCAGCATAGATCAACAAAAGGAAAGCAGAAATTAAATGATAAAGGATTAAAATGATACTTTTATCAAAAACATGGACGAAACTACCGTAACTGCTCCATTCATGTACAAAGCACTAGAAAATATTTAATCTCTGCCAACGTTCTGGAATCGTACGCCTGGTCCGGTAATGACGCTCTCAAGTAGGGCGAATGACCCGAGATATTGATGACTTCACGCGATGGTAATCAGGCGTGGCTTACTCCAATTTTTTTAATGCAACTGTCGCAGTAATATCTTCAAGCCTGTACTAGGTTTAATTAAGGAGACACTAGACTGAGTTCCAGGCGAGAGTAACCGGTCCATAGGAAGCTCCCACCCACCCTCCTCCCCACCCCGAAGTCGACGGGAAAACGAGAAGTTCACCTGATCAAGATTGATAAGAATCGCAGACAACAAAGTCTATAGCAGTCTTGGAGAAAACTTCATCCTGTATTGAATCAGAAAAAACTTATGATGGTGATGGAGTTTGTGCCTCTGTAAAAACAAATTGCAAGAAAGGAAGGGCTGACCAATCAGCAACGAAATGCTGCACAAAAGTCGATGCAGCATCTTGCACGCATTTAATTGTTTGTGATCTGCAGTCGTAATGGAAATGTGACTCGAGGAGCGCCTGCGGCTTCAATGGCGATATAAAATGAATTCCTCTTACGACCAGATCACATCGAGACGTCGGTAGTCATTTTCATCCTAAATGGCATTAGTTGCTTCTAGTGAGACTCCTGTGTCGAGAAACGGCAGTAATGCACAGAAGGAAATGACTCTTGATCACGGTCACAGGCCCGGAAAGATCAATTTTATTGCTCAGCTGGTGTCAGTTGCCATCAGACCGACGAGGAATCTTGTTGTGTTAGGCACTAAACATTTTACGTAAAATTGTAATATACAGACCAGTCGATATTGGGAAATATGTCTATTTAAAAAAGCTGGCACAAAATGTCCATTTTCAAACATACTTAAATGCAAAGCGCAACAAAAACCGTACCTGGCCTACTACTGGCAGGCGTCACCTATGACAAAATATCATTCCTAACAGTACATCTAGCCAATTAAGTGACGTAAACAAAACCAATAAAGGTCAACAGACTTGACGTCAGCAAAATATGGAACAGAAAGAACGCCCAGAACTCGGCACATACCGAAGGGCTTAGCATGTTCTTGAAATTAAACACGGCAACGCCATTTTCTAAGTTTGCGGAACTCAGGGAATCGACCGGAAGCGAAATGCCTCGCAGATTTGCTGCAAAAGAAACCATGCTAATACCGCCTGAAAATCGAATTAGTTTGCGAGCTATTTTGAAATACATACTTGCCTAATGACTTGAGCAAGAGCGATACGCTCACGAGAAGTATTACCGGCACTAGGTACTGTATGAGAACAACAGGGAAATAGATGAAATAACGATTAACCTAAAACAAGTGCATAAGAATACAATTAACCGATATTAAGTTACCGTCTGCTGCAGTTCAGCAAAGTTGATTCTTCCGCCGCCACTTTTTACAGCCATCAGAGATTGTAATCCTAAGTTCAGGTAAGACTGGAGGCACGACAGTGCTGAAATGAGTCGGCAGACTGCTAGCAAAAAAACGAACAGCAGCCGTAGACAGTCAAGAACGTTTTTATCCTTCCTGAAAGAGTGGTCTCACTCTAGACAAAAAGTTTAAATATGCAAAAGAACAGAAACATGTTCCTTGCGCTATTCAAAATCTGTCACAGTAATATTGCGTAAACCTGAGCATGATGTAATCTTCTGAATGACATCTGTTCTGGGAAATAGAGTGAATGCAGAGTAAACATTTATATGTTCAACTTTACACAAGACGACGCTGCCATACTCAACCTTGCTTGAAAAAATTACGAGAAAAACGACAATCATTTAAAGCAGGATTTTACAGGACGAAACTGGGTTTCATTGCAAACAAGGCCTTCCTAAACATAAATTTATAAACAGGAAATAAATGCGGAGCTTCACATAAGTAAACCATTCAATGCGCATATACATATTTGCTTACTTATGTAAACATTAATCTGTGCGCATATTTGGTTTGGTTTAAACGGCTCATTCACAGATCCACAAGCTTCCAGTCAAGTGAAACAGCCTATTGTCACATGCCACATTGCCACAGTGTTGAGTTGAATAAAATCCTTTTCGAAGCACAGACGAAAACAAGTTACCCCTGGGCGTCTAGAAGCAATAGGGTTGTGCGAATATGCCATGCAAATATAGAAAAATTACATGTATTTGTTACTCCCTCAACCGATAGAAGTGTAAGCGCTATTTGTCTTTGCAAACCTAAGGTTTAAACCATATTTTAGAATAAAAATAATGATACTGAATTGAAACGGCGAATGAAGTTTAATGAAGGAAAAATCAATTTCTTACTTTAAAGCAGCAGCTCTGTAGCACCGCCCCTTGTTTCTAGACGCATCGGGGGACCACTTAAGCAGGCCACGCCCCCATGGTATTTAAGCGCCTGCAGTGCATAGGTCGCAGGACCACGTCTCAAACATGGGTTGAACAAAAGTACGTTCAAACACAGAACAGTGCCACGATCCGTAGAAGAAAGAGTGACAAAATAGAACCTCAATATTCTGGGGAAGCTAAATCATCTCCGTCTAGATGTTGTTTGATCCAACAGCACGATGCGGTTGTGCACTTCCGTACTTCAGCTGCTACATCATGGAGTCATGGGCAGCAAAACTGTCCCCTTAAGCCTTTAGAGGCGAGAAGGTGGTGTGATTGGGTTCCATAAACCAAGAGAGTGATTAGTATAGCGACACTGACACATGTTATTCGACATCGCTAACGCAAGGATAGCACAAACCAGATTTCATACTAGAGGGGTCGGCAAATAAGGCAAGTGTTCTTGTTTCAAAACAATGCATATAAAGTTCGTGCGTTAAAAGAAACGTGCGTAGCGCAAAACGGGATGAATTTCCATTACAGAGAATGCCTGTTAATAATCTTAAAATTCATCCGCGGGGGACCTTTATTCTGGAATACACATTCCACTCTTACGTTAAGGCGGCTACTAAGGCATCAGTTGTATACTCCATTACCATCGTCTTTTTATACTTACATGACAGACGGCGCTTGTCGCATCAATAAGCTGACGGTCGGTTTACACCACAAAATCATCAGCAACGGAGGAATCAATATGCTCAATTTTATCGCGCACCTAAAAATACCAATCAGTTGCTTTAATAACTAGAGTAACAATAGTATCTATTCGCAAAAACGTATCTTCGCCGCTAGTATCAATCTGTGGTGTGCAATAACAAATGCCACTGCAAATTTATTATGCAAATGCTTTCCTCACCAAGAAAACTTTAATCATTCCACAGTATTAGGCACAAATGGACTAGAAATAGAAATGTGGTGTAACAGCCGGAATGTCGGTCTCCCTTACACCTTTATGTTTAGCGATAACTTGTGATGCACTGATTTTCATAAAGTTTATGGTGTGGCACCGATCAGCTAGCAATACAGACAGAATCTATAGCTATATGGCAAGCACTGTGTATAGTTTCCTGTTTCCCTCCTAGAGAGTGGTACTTATTCATCAATGTCCGGAAGGATAGAGGTGATTTACCAGACCTGAGATCAAACCCAGAACCTCTCGATTCTGAGTACGACAATCTACCGACTGAGCAACACCGGTCCATGGGCAAAAACAGGACGCCACTGTGACATTTCAATGTCAACAATTTAGGTGCCACAAACAACGAACTGACTTAATGCATGCCGCAAAGATAACCGGAAGCGTCAAAATCATGAGGGAACGAATCAAATCACGTCTCCCACAGATGGCATTGGTTTGACAACTCCCTAAGATTGTCATATCACTTCCCTGATCGCTAACATCACCCTTTTGATTAGCGAGACCCTGGAGAAAACTTAGAACGATTGTTAATACGACGTCCTTTCGATTGAATAACAACAACGGTATAATAGAAACAGCCCAACAGACAAGGCTAACTGAACACGTACGCAACGACTGCGACAGAGAGCATCATCTCTAACGGTCGGAAGACGAAGGTCATGAAAAATCCATCCGACCTGCAAAATTCATCTTGCAGGTCCGCAAGTGGAATATGGAGTAAATAATCCGTTCGTAAACTTCAGTAGTTTTGAGCAAAGATAAAAGTAACGGAAACATTATGCTAAATATCATACTTCGGAAGATCAAACAGCCACTACCATGGCACAATACCATATGACAGTTTATTTATATTCAACCGACATTATCCGATCTAAATAAAACATTGCGGAACTTTCTTTATTGTTGCGAAACACTGAACATCACGGGACGAACAACAAATCCTTAGCATTCAGGGCTCACGGAAAGGCACGCATAAAATTCTAATTTAAAACACAGTATGGTTCTGCACTGTATGAAAAGAAGTTGCTAACCAAAACCTGCTAGAGAAGTTTCATTATTATTATTCTTCTATCGTACAGCTGGACTTAACTAGAAACGCTCAATGTAAATGCCCAAGGAGTGGCAGCCGGTTAAAATGGGTTCTGCCATTAAACTTTTATAACGAGTTTTCACAAGTAATATACTAAGGGTTCGGTCTCATGGTCGCGGCTAAATCTTCCAGCAACAAAGTATACCCCAGCGGTCTCATTTTCATGTTCAGGAAAGACAATCCACGGTGATCTAGATCCATGTCCAGAAGTTTCTTTATAAGATTGAGGATAAAGTGTTTGTTTCTGAAGGTCACACTTTTCCAGTCTGTTCTGTCGTACATCGTATGTCCAGACTTTGTGCTGCAAATATCACTTTTTTCAAAGTAGACAGTCTGAATTAAAGCATCGTGTCGACTGATATTAAGGAACTGATAGAAAGGGGGCCGGCGATTGTGAGAGACTGCTCTAAAGATGCAAGATGATTGTTAGCTTCTGAGGCAGTTCGGAGAAATGGCGTGTGCCAACGTCAGTAACC